AATCGAACTTTGTTTATAAAGGTACATTCTGGAGCAAATAATGAGTTTTATTTACAAGTAAGTCATGTACGACTGACTAAGTAGGGATAGTTGGGGGGGCTCCTGGGAGAGCCGATTAACGGCGCCGATTTGGAGGGAGTCATCCCTTTCACCCTTCTGCCTATTGTCCTTCCTTCGTCTTTCACTCTCCTCAGAATACAGACTCCACAGCAGGAGCAGGCGTGGGGGAAAGGCGAAAGGAGGCTCCGTGATCGTGGACCTGACATCCCTGAGCTTCTCACCAGGAGCAGCATCCCTGACCCCGGGCTGCTCTTTGTGTGAGAACAATCAACTCCTGTGACACAGGTTCCCAAATGTCTGCAGTTCACGGCATCCTTAGCGTCTCAGTAATTTTTTCAGGGTGCCCTGGGCCAAAAGGAACAACTAACACTACCCCTCATTAAGTAGTTAGGTGCCAGCAACTTAATAGTATTTATGTACTAACAACCTATTAGCTGTTTGAAAAAAACAATGTACATAAATTAAGAATAAAAGTATTTTTATTTCATTCTTAAATAACAGTATTACTGATGGCATGTGTATTCTAACTATGCCCTCTACTACTTCCGCTCTTGGAATCAGACTGGATACCACCACCTTCAGCTCCCATTCCACACTGATTTTCACTTAGAACTTGCTTGTCTTTATTACTGTGATAAAATACACATAACATAAAATTTACCATCTTACCCAATTTATCTTAGTTTATTTATTTATTGAAGTAATCTCTACACCCCACGTGGGGCTCGAACTCAGGACCCCGAGATCAAGAGTCGCACACTCCTCCAACTGAACCAGCCAGGCACCCCCGATCTTAACCATTTTTAAAGTGTATATTAAGTACATTCACACTGCTGGGCAACCATCACGCACCATGCATCTCCGGAACTCTTTCATGTTCCCAAACTGAAACTCCGTCCCCATTCAACCTAACCTCCCATGCTCCCCTCCCTCCAGTCCACAGCAAACACCGTTCTACTTTTTGTCTCTATGATTTCACTCTTCTAGGTACCTTGTATAAGAGAAATCATACAATATCTGTCCTTTTGTGCCTGGCGTAATTCACTTAGCATAATGTCCTCGAGGTTCATCCATGTCGTATTGTATGTCAGACTTTCCTTCCTTTTTAAGGCTGAATACTATTCCACTGCAGGTATAAGACACACATATTCTTTATCCACTCATCTGCCTATACTTGGGTTGCTTCCACCTTTTGGCCTACAGAGTACTAGCTTTTTCATCACAACTACTGAAAGTGGAGCTTTGCAAAGATATGACATCACTAAAAGGATATAGTGCAATCTAATGTTGAAACTGTGAACCTCCTCAAGCTAGTAGTTTGCCTGGAGTCCAAAGGATGCCACAAATCCTTCTGTTTCCTTCAAAATTAAAATTATCCCATGGTTCCCCCTGAGTTTGCTGTGGTATTCCAGTGTCCTTGGCACACCATTTGAGAACCATGCTCCATGATGTGAAAGTCACTGTTTTTTGAGTTTTCAAGTTGAGTAGAACTCAATCCTTAATTAAGTAACACAAATACTACAATCAAATTTATATTTCTCATGAGGCTCCCACTGGAGATTTCTCCAGTCTTCAAGTCAGATATTTGTCTGTGTGGCAATCCTTAAATGACATATCCTCTGTACACAGTTCCACTGGATTCCTGAGAGATGGTATAATCACCCTGAAGGCTTAGAAAATGTATTTTCTCAGCCACCATGTGAACTGTGCTTGGCCCCAAGCAACAGTACCCCACTACGATGGTTGGTTTTATACGTCAACTTGAATGGCTCATGAGGTGCCCAGGTATTTGGCCAAATACCATTCCAGGTGTTTCTGTGAGTGTTTTCAGATGAGATTTACATTAAATCAGTAGACTGAGTAAAATAGATTGCTCTTCCTAATGTGGATAGGCCCCACCCCATCAGCTGAAGGCCTGAAGAGAATAAAAGGCTGACCTTCGGCCAAGTAAGAAAGAATTCTTCCCTGAATGACCACTTGCAAACTGGGACATCAGCTTTTTCCTGCCCTTGGACTCAAACTGAAATGTCAGTTCATCCTGGGTCTCAAACCTGCTGTCCTTCAGAAGGGAAATACACACCATTGCCTCTCCTCGTTCCAGGCCTTCAGACTCACACTAGACCTACAGCATCAGCAGGCCTGGGTCTTCAGCTTGCTGACCCGTCTCCCATGTCTTGGGAACTGTCAGCCTCCGTAATCTCTTCAGATACAGGTACAGACACAGGGACGGGTACACATTCAGGCACAGATACGTCTCCTGTTGGTTCTGTTTCTTCAGAGAACCCTAACTAATACACACGCAGTCACAGGTCCTTCGGTACTATCCCTCAGGGTCAGGGCACTGTCAGTTCTGCATGAAAAAAGCCTGAGAGAGATGTCAACCTCAAGTTCATCACATCATCCCATCACATAATCCCCAAAGTTAAAACCCTTGCACAGCTCACCAGTGTGCTCAAGATAGGTCCAAGCTCCTTGGCGCCTCCTCCATAACCTTTATCTGGCCTCTGCTTATTCCTCCCCAGTCTTGTCTCTCTACACCCCCAACGTGGAATCAGGCAGAAGTTAATGAAACACACCATGATCTCTCCCCTTCAGGTTTTGAGGGTGATTTTCGGTCTATCCAGAATGAGTTCCAGACAGCCCCCCCACACACACACACACAATTGGCATGAGCGCAAGTCTAGCTCCTTACCCTTCAGGTGTCTGCCTAGATATCCTACTGTCCTCCCAGATCCACTGATCAAGCATGGGCTGGGAACCCTGCAAATGTAGCCCTACTGCCATCAGTGTATCCCTATCAGAGCCCTAAGTGCACTTTAACTGCCCATTTATTTGTCTGAATTCTCCTAACTCCTTGAGGGCCAGGACTATATTTTATTAGCTACTATATCCCCAGGACAGTGGCTCACCTATAATACATGCTCAATAATTATCTGTTGAGTAAATGACTGGATGAAGTTCAAACAGTCCTACTAGATCACCATTCTCAACCAGTTATTGGCTTAGCTTAGGAACTGTCAACCAAGACCTGAAAGGGACACGTTCAGCCACTGCTGGCACCATCCGGAGCGGTATCCAAGCTACAAGGCCAGAGGGGATAATAATACAGTTATCCTCAACCCCTATCCCATGCTCATGCATACCCCGACCATGCAGATCCGGAACAGGCACCGTAAGCTTGGAAGCTGAGCAAGGAGCCAGAAAGTTAGAAAGAGGAGAACCAGGGGACAGCACTAATTTTTGCAAGAGTTCAAGATGTATTAACCCTGAGAGTTCACTCTCCCTGAATTACTGGAAACATAACTTTTTTAACTATGAATATAATCATAACCACATCTGCTCACCATCAAAGTCATATCCCCAAACTCCTTACCGAGGGCAATGCTGAAGTTATTTATTCTTTCTAGATCTTAGCTCCCTTATCAGTTAATCAACAGTAGCATACGACTCAGGGCTGTTGTGAGGGATAACTGAGATTTTATATTAGAAGCACTCAATACAACAGTGCCTGACACATGCCCAGTTATGACATCATAAATAGAAGTTATTAATATTATCAGCATTAATAACGCCAGCCGGGATTCAACAGAAGTATATGTGATGAAAGCAAGCTACGTACAGTTCATTAGACAAGCAAGAGCTGAAAGATCCTCCTGGGCCTCAGCCCCTGAAAATCCAAACACACGAGCTTGCCATTGTAGCTTGCCACACCATGAACGCAGCAACCTGACAGTGACGGGGCTATCTTGGATGCACCCCCAAGGAAAGCTTTTCCTATACTTATACTAAGTATCAGTAGGTCTAGGAAATAAAACAATCTAAAACAAAACCTAAACCAAAATAAATAAATAAGAAAAGAAAAAAGCTAGATATATAGCTTTTTGTACTTTAAGGTTTTATAGCACTAAAACAGCTTTTAGGATAAAAATAATTATTCACCTGAACTGGGTGAGTTATGAGTTAATGGTGAATGGCTATTTCAGGCTGCTAGTAATTTTATTTAGTAGTGTACACACTTAATATAAACATTTAAAACCAGATGCTAAAAATACCTAACAACATATATAATTGTGCTATTTTACATAACAAAGCTGTATTTCACATGAGATACACACTCTTCCTTTTTCTGGCCCAAATACACATTTCATGTGCAATATCACTCCTTAAGTCAACATCGGTTTCTAGAGAGAGTGAGTCATTCAAATAATTTGCTATTTTCCAACAATTATTCCATGATTTAAAATTTACATTATTCAAACACTGAATTAAACACTGAAACACTGAATTCAAAAACTGAATTAAAAGTACACTCTCTCTGCATTTCAAATTAACCAAGTTTTCTAGTTCTCCACAAGCCCAAAAATACATCCTTTCATTATTCTCTTCTAGCTTCCTTCCCTCTTGTCACCAGCTGTATTACAAAACTTAGGGGTTCTGCTCTTGGAATAATTTTTTATCATTTCTATGTGCTAATTCCTCACTTTATTGGCTGTTAAGCTTTCTCCCTTTTTATCCTTTTCTTTCCAAACCTTTCTTCTAGCACCCGACCCACACGATGACGGCTCTGGCCGCCCCCCTCCGCCATGGCCCAGGGAATCCCGTCCCTCCATGCATCCCGAGGGTAGGGTCTTGCTAAACTGGTCTTGCCTGCCACCACCACCACCCCCCCTCACTCCCTGTTTCTGCTCTCTCTGTCTCACCTTGCACTCTGCTTCACAGTTCCATGCGGTATCATGTTTACCACTGTGGCTTCCTCACCCTCCCATGTACCCATACATCCAGCCCCTCACAAGGGAGGCTACAGAGCATTGTGAGACCATCAGAATTGATCCTGACATTCAATCCTGTAGTTTTCCATGAGATTTGCTTGCAGAGAAGGATCTGGAGAGGAGAAAAAAAATCGTTTCCACTTTTAAAAGATCCCAGAAAGACAATCCTACCTTTCCCAGGATTTGGAGGAAAAGGACTTCCAAACTCCTGCTGCTTTGGCTTTAAATTGTGTGGCCCTGACATGCCTCCAGCCTGGGTGACCTGGAATCGTGGCTTCCCATTGGTGAGTACTTGTCTCCTGGGGCTCAAGGCAGGCAGATGGAGGGGGCTCTCGGCCATGTTGCTCTGAGGAGCCATCCCTCCTCCCGAGGGCATCTTGAGATGAAGGCTGTTAGCAAGGCTTCCGATGGCAGGGCTCGCTGTGCTGCCACAGGACGAGGGACCAGGAGTCCCAGAGTGGGCTCGGATGGGAGGAATGTATTGGCCACTGACCATCCCGGGCCCCTGTGGGGTTCCTGATGTCCGGTGGAGACTCATGCTGCATGACCTTCCATTCATTCTGAAAAAACCTGTGGCCAGGATGGTCAAATATCCAATGGCACTAATGACTCCTTTCAGGCAAAGTCCAATAAGTTATCCATGGTGTGGGTTATTAGCCTGTTTAAAAAAATAAATGCAGGCATTTTTAAAAGTAAAAATGAAAATAAGTCACAGTGAGTTTTCAACTTGTGTAGCATTCATACCAGGAAGAAAAGAAGCACTCTTAGCCAAACGGCCTTTTATGTAAAGCAGGGTCATCAAACACATGGTTCATTGGCAGGCACTCTTCCCTCCTGCATTCACGGTAGACATGGATTATGGATCACTGTATTGTTTTGTTTGCCACTGAGCCCTTCTCAATACAGTGCTCTTGGCAACGACAACCAATCAACTGGTACCAGCTTGCAAAATGAAACTTATTTTGCTCCCCAGAGGATCTGTCCATACTAGTTCACTTTTGCTACAGTGAGTCTTGGGAAACCCAAAGCACTACCTTTGTGAGCTGTGAGACCAATGCTCCAAAGCTTCCAGTAAACAAGCAAAAGGCTGATATGGCCTCTAAATGAGAGTATGAGGATATTAAACCACCTCTGATTTTTACCATAAGAGCAAATTTTTCACAGTCCCTAGACTTACAAAAGGTAAAAATAGGGGTCTGAGGTTCTCGCAAAGATGTCATATATCCGCATGTCCAAATAAATCACAGCAACATCGAAGTCTTGGTTCTATAATGATTCTGAGTTATGGGGATGGAAACAGAAGCAACATCACAATACTCTCACCTTCTATTAAGATCCTAGAAAAGGAAAAGTCTGTACAAAACACTTTACGGAAAGCATACCGAAAGAAGAGAGCCTCTAAAGGGAAGTATGTTCGCCACACACTACACACAGCACTTCAACCATAGCTCCACAACAGAGCTCCGTCTGCCATCCCAGCACCCCCTTCCTCAAGTGGCGAGAGAAAACCAACAGCACCGACACGAACACAGGACATCACAATGCCAGTACTCTCTGGTTACAAATCTGTAGGAAAGGTGCTTCCCTCCCTTAACCAAGAGCTCCCCAAAATGTACACAGAGTCAAGGAAGTGACTGGGTGTCACTACTCCAACTGATTGACAAACACACTCACACTCTGTACTATTTTGCACAGATATGATTGTCATGAAAAGAAGCCAAAGCTGAACTAATACAGAAGATATGACTGAGTGCAAAGCAGTAGGGGTCAGATATTCTCAACTGGATGATTCCTACTCTATCTGCATGATCCACTCAACGTCTTAGACAATTATTTCCAACCAACACCCACACAAATGGCTTCATCCACCATTAGGGACAGAACACCACAGAAGGAAAACTCTCTGTGAAGAGGGTTTTCTTTTTCTTTATCCTTTTAAAAAATCAAAAACTATTTTATCAAAAATCAAGTATTTTTGATTTTCTAGTCAAGCACTCACTGTGCCCTCCGCAAAGTTTACTGTGTGTGCCCGAATGCTGAGAAACTTCAAAATTTACTAACAATACAACATTTGGAATGTTTTCCTCCTTACCAGTTCTCCACTTTATTAAGAATTCTATCAGTCTGGGCGCCTGGGTGGCTCAGTTGGTTAAGCGACTGCCTTCGGCTCAGGTCATGATCCTGGAGTCCCGGGATCGAGTCCCGCATCGGGCTCC